AGGAACTGGTCGAAAAGAACTGTAATAGCTTCAATGTGCAATGTTCTACCCATTCTTAGCACAATAAAGGTGAGAAAATTTGTATGTCACCAACTATCAGCCCAAAGACAGATTCAATATTGCCTTAAAAACTAAAATAGGTAGGCCTTACATGATAAAACCTCTGGAGAACTCAGAAAATGAGTCTTTTAAATGTGTGCCCATACTTGGCTAAAGTAGCTCACGGTTAACTATTCTGAAGACAGGCTTATGAACCAGGGAGCAAGGTGGGTTTGGAGAAAACAAATGAAGTTCTGAAATAGAAAATCGCATAGCGGGACCTCTTTCAAGTAGGGAGGGAAACTTCGCTGGGGAGCTGAGATTAATGCACTTGCCCCAAGGAAAATTGTTCAGAGTGAGTGGTAGGGAATGGGGTGAGCAGAGCATTCTGGGAAGAAGGAAAAGATCCCGACGAAATAACGAGGTTGGCATGTCAAGGCACCAAAAAAGAGCTATGTGGCCAGCTTAGAGTGTGGGAGAGGTGAAATATGAACGGTGAAAAGCCTGGAGTGTGTTGAGTAATGTAACTGAAAACAGAAATACTTGATTTGTTGTAAGCCAGGACTCTATTGACAGAAGATAGGTTTGATTGCTCCGTGGAGGGACTATTGAAGGGAGACAACAGTGGAAGCCTAGAAGTCAGTGGAGGGGTTCTTTCAACTCTTGCCTCTTCTCTCCTGCAGCCTACCTTTCTTTGAGGCTGCACTGGCTCATTCTGAGCTATCAGCTTGTGAATGTGTGAACGTGCTCTTGTCCGTATGCAACAGGTTGGCTTTTGTCTGTGAGTGCACAATGTGGGTGCTGCTACTTAAAAATCTAATGTTTCCTTCAGATCCTGCCCTTAATTTTAACAGACTAAAATATGACATATAAAGACTGTGTATGGCAACATACCCAGTGAATCCAGGCCCTCACGAGACCGAGGCAGGAGGGTTCCAGGTTTCAGACCAGGGATACGTAGTGAAACACTGTAAACTTAAATATTAATAAATAAAACATAAAATCCTACTCATCTGGTGCTAGATCGTCATTTATGCCTTGGGCAGAAGAGTTCTACTCACTTGGCTTACAATAAAATTGAATCTTTTAAATACATACGTGTATATGTGTGTGTGTATGTATATATATATATATATATATATATATATATATATATATATATATATATAACATACCTAACTTGCAAACCCTTCTTTGATGATCATTTAACCCTGTCAACCGATACTTCTATGAGTATATTTTATATGCTTTTCTCTTAATCAGAATATAGGATGTTCTACACTTCCTGCTGGCTGCTGATGTTTCTAGTGTTTTGCATGCCCACAGCACAGTGATTTTCTCTCAGTGTGTCGGTGGCAGTTCCCAAGGAGATTTCCATTAAGAAGTGGGGAGCTTGAAAGGGGTGGGGTGGGGTCAAGGGGAGCGAGCGGGGTGGATGAAGAGGAGAAGAGGGGGGAGAAAATGCAGCCACAAATCCAATGTAGAGCCTACAAAATGAAGCGGCGTGAGGGCAGGGGTCAGGGGGAGAGGGTTGGGGAGGATCGTGAGAGGGGTGGCGTGGATCAGGGTGCATCGGATTCATGAACCGCCTTGTTAAATGGCAACTCCTTCGCACAATGACTTAAAGATAATTAAAAAGTAGGCCAAAGAGTTGAACGTTCAAAGACATAGCCTTGGATCCCAACTTCCCTCATGAAACTCACAACTCTCTTCAGCAGCTACCCCATTTAATAACAAGTTTTACCTATGTGATGGCCTGTACTCTTATGCATAGAATATGATAAACAACGCCTTTGAACAATGAACTTACCGTTGAACAAAATGAATACCAGGAAATTGGAACGTGTCTTATCAAGGAGGGTAGGGGGGAGAAGGGGAAGGAGCAGGGGGTTGATGAATAGAAAAAGGAAGGACAGGTCACACACGTGACAATGGAACTAGGTAAATTGGGGTTTGGGAGAGATGGGGTTGACATTAATCAAGATGTCTTGTGCTCACAGATATGTTGAATTGAAAACCCTCTGTACAACTACTTAAAGATAATAAATTTTAAGAGTACCTGGAACAAAATGTGTGAGGCAAGAAGTGAGAAATTTGAAAGAGAATAGTGTAATAAGTGAAGGAGAGAGGAGAAAGACAAATGGAAAACTTGTTCACATCATGAATTACTGGTTTCTTTTTGTCTGTCATGGGGTTTGAACTCTGGGCCTGGGCACAGTCCCTCAGCTCTTTAGCTTAAGGTGAGCACTATACCACTTGAGCCAGTGCCATTTCCGGTTTGGGGGTGGTTAATTGGAACTAAGAGTCTCATGGACTTCCCTGCCTGGGTTTGCATTGAACCATGATCCTCAGATCTCAGCCTCCTGAATACCTAGTATTATAGGTGTGATAATACCTAGTATTATAGGTCTGACACCTGGCTATTGTTTCTTTTTTCTTTTTTGGGGGGGAGAGGTCCAGTCGCTGGGCCTGAACTCTGGGCCTGGATGCTGTCCCTCAGCTCTTCAGCTCAAGGCAAGTGCTCTACCACTTGAGCCACAGTGCCACTTCTGGCTTTTTTTTTCTGCTTATATGGTGCTGAGGAATCGAACCCAGGGCCTCATGCATGCAAGGCAAGCGCTCTACCACTGAGCCACCTTCCCAGCCCTATTGTTTCTTATCTATAGGACTTTAGACAAATCACCTACCTTCTTTGTGAGTAATGGTATATTATTCAAATTTGACAATGTAGGTCAACTGCTATACAAACTGCCTAGGTAGGCAGTAAAGTCTGTGAGATTCTGTCTCCAAATAACCACCAGACAATCAGAAGTGGAGTTGTGGCTTAAAATGGTAGAGTACTAACCTTGAGCAGAAAAACTCAGGATAAAACCCAGGCCCCTGACTGACCTCCTAACAAGGGTAAGTATGAAGAGATTAGGCTGTGAAGCCATTTCTCTGTATGGAGGTTTGACTCCATGGCTCTTAAACAGGCAAGCCAAATAGGCTTGTTAGTATCAACCACATATCCACATGGGTATAGAAACTCTATAGTAACTCTTTAAAATGTTATTTTATTGTAAAGGTAACGCACAGAGTGGTTAAAGTAACATAAGTACGGTAATGAGTGCATTTCTTTGTGTCCCCCCTCTCATTTTCTCCTGCTTTCCCTTTCCCCGATGCTCCCCAAGTTGTAAAGTTCATTTCCAGCATAGTGTCTGTGATTCCCCTTCCCCTTCTCAAATGAGATAAACTTACATGCAAAACAAAGGGTTCAAAAATTAGAAACAGTGGCCACAGGGAATAAACCAGAGGAGGAAAAAAGAGAAAGACAAAAAAAACTGTAAATAGTATACTAAAAAAAAAGGAAAAGAACCCCCCCCCACACACACTCTTGTTTCTATATTATGGAGATAATTTTGATTAGCATCATTTTACATGGTCATATGTACATACTATCAGGCTATCGTGAAATTCTGCTAGTACTATTATACTATATGTTATACATACATATACTACGCAATATACATACATATTATACTATTAACTGGAGGCTTTCGAGTCACTGCAAGGGTCCTGTGTGCTTATAACTTCCCAACACATTATTCACAGTTCAAATGATGAGTTACTCTTGAAATCTTACTTGTAAATGCATACAGACATTATGCATATAGACGTTCATTCACACCAGGCAGCATCTTAGTTGATAGATTCACTAAGAACACATCGGATCATGATGAGCCTTATAGTGATCTCTCAAGCAAACTTGATCTTCCTTATCAAAAAGATTGGAAAACTGCCGTGAAAGATGCAAAGTTATTGTCATAAAGAAGACAACACTTCAACATCATTGCTTTTCTTTCTCTCATCAGTAACACAAAGGATAACTTCATTTGCAGCTGCTGATACTAGTGAACTTTTAGAACAGGGTTTGTTGAAGTAGAAAGGACAGGACAGTCTGATTTAATTTCTCACAGTAATATGGGCCGAAGCTAGCTTGTGGGGAACCTGTTAATCTCCTTGAGAATAGTTTTGCATAGGAAATAGGTCTTGCTGCTAAAATTGTCTGGGACTAGGTTTGAATAGTTTTGTAGTGAATGACACTATTTGTAAAAAGAAAAAAACCCCAGAAGAGTAGTTTATAGATGGTTATCTTAATAAATCAAAGTTAAACTTTTAAAAACTCAGTTACTACAATACCTTTCATTCAGTTTGCTGAATACATTACTTGCCAAGAGATGATAACTTGTGGGGCTAGGAATGTGGCTTAGTGGTAGAGTGCCTGCCTAGCATGTGTGAAGCCCTGGGTTCAATTCCTCAGTACCACATGAACAGAAAAAAGCTAGAAGTGGTGCTGTGGCTCAAGTGGGAGAGTGCTAGCCTTGAGAAAAAAAAAAAGCTCAGGGACAGTGCACAGGTCCTGAGTTCAAGCCCCAGGACTGGCAAAACAAAAAAAACAAAAAAATACTTGGGCTGGGAATGTGGCTGCGTGGTAAAGTGTTTGCCTGGTGCATGAGGCCCTGGGTTCCATTCCTCAGTACCAGACAAACAAACAAATAAATTAAATTAGAATAAATAAGTAAATTAAAAAGATGATGACTTGGCAGGCATTTATAATTTAAAAAATCTTTATGATTAGTTTCATGTGGTCATACAATTTCAACATGCTTGTTCAGGGAGAGTTCAGGGCTCTCCATCAGTACCACTTCTTTTCCATTGTTCTCTCCTATCTTTCCCAACACATTTAGATCTTTTTTTTAAAAAAAGAAAATGGTCTAAAGGATACTTAAATATCAATATTACTTATATAGTTTAAGAACATATCTCTTGAGAAGAAAAATCTAAACAACCTCCTAGCCGAGTAGAATTTCTTCAATTAAGGAAGTAAGATGCATTGCAGTGACTTTGAACATTTTTTTTTTTTGCAACTTCCTGCAAAGGGACCCTTCACAACACTTTTGGAGAAGTTAGTAAAAGCGAATCTGACATCACTCCCTAGTCTTACTTGCAGCTAGCAAGTGGTTTTGTTCTTTGGGTAGCAGAGGAGGAAATCGCTCCCGTCCGATAAAATACAAAGTGAAGAGTATGTGTGGATTTCTTTTATTTCTCGATTCGCTTTTTTACAGAGAAACAATTTTTGGCGAGATAACCACTGTTTTGCCTTGCAGGAGGACGCATGCTGTTTCCTGGGGACAGGACTGGTTGCCAGAAATGACCATGTACTTGTGGCTTAAACTTCTGGCATTTGGCTTTTCCTTCCTGGACATGGAAGTCTTTGTTACAGGTACGTAGAAGAATAATTCCCCCCTCCTTTTGGCAATACATTGGTTTGAAATGGATATTAAAAAATAAGTTCCTTTTAAGTGAGTGAAACCGATAAGAAAAATGGCCAAGGTTGGTATGGGTAGGAGAGGCAGAGGCTTCTTGTAAGATAGAATACATTGTTTCAGTTCAAAAAGGCAGAAATGTTTGGGAAGAAAGATCCCTATTTGAAATGAAAACATTGTTTATCTGTCTCTTTATTTACAAACCACTGAAGGATATTACAGAAGCAACAGTTGCTTTACCCTCCATGAGATGGTGAACAGAAGTTTTTGAAAGCCTAAGGAATTGTTGGACGGTAAAAGCAGCTCAGATGGTGTGTTTCAAACAAGAACCACAACAAAATGTACCGTCTCCCACTCACAAAATGGCCTGAGTGGCATGAAAGCCAATTTTGAAGGGGATTGAGAATTTGCTTCCTCAAAATTTGGTTACTGTTGAAATATTTTATCAAATCTCTAGGCATACAACCGTTCAGAAATACATTAGGTATTGGATAAAATATTGACTTCCGGCAGGCTCTTAGGCACTTGAAGTCAATTTTTTATTTTTTGCTAATGGTTTTCAAAAATTTTGCTTTGGAAACTATGGGAGACACCACCCTTCCTGGGTGATGGGTAACCATCACAGCCATGAAGATGTAGAAATATTTAAATCTTTAAGACTTATGCAAATGCAATGTGCTTTAAAAATGTAATTAATTGAACCTTGCTTATTTGACCTTTTAATTTTGTACACTCATGGTCTATCTAGCCATGTTTTTCATAACCAGTTTCAGTTTAGGTTATGCCTACATATTTTTCTTTTCTTTTTTGTTTTTTGTTTTTCTCCTTTTACTAACATAATTAACAAAGGAGATTTATTGTTATATTTTCATACATGCATACATGAGTCCATTGTTATCTACTGTCATTAACTAATGAAAAGTGACAACGTTTCTTAAGAGGAAAAAGATGAAAAGTTTATTTAAAAAATTACCAAAGCGACATGGAACATGGGATCTTTATAGAAAATCGGAAATAAGTGTAGAGATTACTTTGTAACAAATTTTGCTTCTTGAATTTCACTTTGAAAATCAGTGTTTTGTCATTGTTTGTTCATTGTCTGTTTTGCTCTTTACCTTCTCTTTTTCTGTTTGGGGTTTTTTTTAACTGTATTTTTTTTGTCTTTTCTTTTTTGGTACTGGGGATCGAACCCAGGACGTTGCACTTGCTAGGCAAGCGCTTTGCCACTGAGCTACATCCCAGCCCACCTTTCTCTTTTTCTTTATAAAGCAAGGCCATATCCACAGCCTCCAGCCCCGCAGAACATTACATTGTCAATTTATGTTTTTGGCATTCTTAAGACTAGAAAGAAAAAACCATAAGATAAGGTATTTTGTTGGGGTGATTTTATTTGTTTGGATTTTCCAATGTAAAGATCAGTTTTTAAAATTTCCCATGGGAGCGGTGTAGTTGTGAAGTTCCATCCCTGTAACGTTCTGGCATCAATGCGAAGCAAATTCTGAAGAAGAATCATTGAATAAGGTGTTCTGTGTATTTAATTGTTAACGTTTTACTAAAACATTTCTCTTGGGAAATGTTGGTAAGCAGTGTGTGTGTGTGTGTGTGTGTGTGTGTGTTATTGTTGTTGTTGTTGTTGTTCCTCAGCCTGAACTCAGGGCCTGGGTGTTGTTCCTGAGCGTTTGTGCTCAAGGCTAGTGCTGTACCAAAATTAGAGCCACAGCTGTACGTCCAGCTTTTTGGTGGTTAAATGGAGATAAGAGTCTCACAGATTGGTCTGCCCAGGCTGGTTTTGAACCATTATCTTCTCAGATCTTGTCTCCTGAAGGTAGCTGTGATTATAGACATGAGACTGTAAACCATTTCTGAGTGAGAATTAGAGGAATACTGGAATATTTTATAGGCAACAGAACAAATTGCATGAAAGTTTCAAATCAGTCTATCAATGTTAGTCAACACATATTTCTGAAAAAAGATATTGTCTTTACATAGTCACTTGTATTTCTAAGACACACCTTGTGATTCAATGTATAATTTAGGAAGCATTGGTGCTCCTAACGGTTTTCATTGGGAGCAGCAAGTGAGTTGGATCTTACATTTTATTTGAATATATTAACATTAAGTTTCTGTCAAGGATATGTGAACTTTTGAATATCAGACTTACGTATTCTAAAGGCATAAAGAAAATAGTCATCGGTGGAAGAGAATCATACCAGTGCATTAGCTCGGATGCGTTTTATTTCATTTCTAAACCACACATGTGAGGAAGGCGCCAATGCTTTACCTACACAGGCCTCAAGCTACTAAGTTCATTTACATACAAGTTTCTATTCTCTCCTGTGGAGGAGCAGAAGAGAGATATTCCTCTTTTACATTATGTCTCTTTGCTTGCCATTTCTAAGCTGTTCTAGGCGCAATGAGGGTGTAGAACGCTCAGGTCAGTGAGTGTTCTAATAACTGTGGAATGCCAGAAAAATCTCCAGCGTCGAGCAGTTGGAAGTACTTTGAATTATGCCACATGAAGTAGGTTGAACGGTCTGAGTCATAGCTGTGAAGATCCATTTCCTGAACATAACCCTTCATTTTTCCATCCACACTGAAAAATCCCACGTGTTGCAAACCTGCACTCTGCCTTGCACGTTGCCAGCTGGCGTGCAAGTTCTGAGGTGGATTGGATGCAGCAGACTTAGTGAGTGGTCCATACGTTGTAACTTCTGTGATCTGGGAATGATGAATTATTCATTTCTTAAAAACAGTTTTTCAGACTGCACATTTTTTTGAGACCCTCATCATTGCTAGAATCTGGTAGAATAAAGATGTGGAGGGTTTAGAACTCTGGATTTCCTTTTCCTCTCTCACTTGATTTAACTAAGCACCCAGAGTGGTTTGCTTGAGCTGGATGCTTTCTCTATTCTATTTGATATCTTCTCATCGGTGAGAAATTACACCTCCACATTGCTCTCTCTCTTACACACAGGCACACATGTTTGTATAGACACCCATATACACTAGTTGCATATTTGCAGTGTAATGTTATACGAGGTACATATGGTGTGATTTATGCTAGTTGATTATGTATCATCTACCTTCTGGACTTCCGTATTCATCTTTTATTTTATTGTTAATTTTGTGGCAGTACTGGGAATTTAATTCAGGGCCTTTTACTTGTTAGCCAGGTACTTAAAATACTTGAGCCATGTCCTTAGTCCTTTTGTACTTGAGCTATTTTTCAGTAGGATCTGACATTGTCCCAAAGCCTGCCTGGGGCAATGGTCCTTCTCCTTACGTCTTCCTCCTAGGAGGGTTGACAAGTACACACCAACACACCTGGCTTATTTTGTTGAAATGGGGCTCTACCTTTTCTTTTGTTGTTATTTGGAGCTGGATTTGAGCTATTATCTTCTCAATCTCTGTCTCTCTAGAGGCTGGGATTTTGTGAGCTTCAGTTCTGGGGTAGTTTTAGTTTATTTTTCTACAAGCTAGTTTCATTAACTTTATCTGCTATCTGTTGATGACCCTGGTCCACTATCGCCAGACTAATCTCTCCAAATGCAAGCTGTTTCTTTAGCTAAATGTGCTCCCTTAGCTGTGTCTCAGACTCCTAATATTGCTTTGATATTCTCTAAAATCCCCTTCTGTATCTTTGCTGTCATCATCTTAACTCCTGGCTTTGATATTTTTCATCTGTAATATTTTCCTGATCTAGCTCAAGTCTCATCCTTAATGTATACACCCTACAACTTACAAAACAAGATTCTGCTATCTTCCCATGGTTCTAGATCTAAACTCCAGTTCCAGTCTTCTTGCCGGAACAAATGAATGCTCCAGAAGCCCAGAGCTGGGCAGGGAACAAGGCAGAGACCTTCGTTCCTTTTTCTTTCAGGATTGAGTAAAAGACACCAAGCAGCAGTTGGCTTCAGGATCCAGTCTTTCCCTTTTCTGCAGAGCCTTTGAGGTTCTCTTGCACACCTCTCCTTTCTCGTGCTCTTCTTCGCCCTTCCTCAGCATATCTCCACTGAAATTGGACTGGATTCTTCACCTTTCTCTGTTCTTGTTCAAGTGGTATCCACTGCGCTGATTGTGATGTGTGAGTCATTGTGTTTACTGCCATCCTAACCCACAGGGAAGGAGGAAGCAGGTCATATGTCCCATTCGGTGCATGATTTATGACCAGTGCATACATGGGAGATGAACTCCTTAATCAGACTGAAGATTATTGTGCTAAAGGCGAAGGAGAAAGAGAGAAACCTCTGATAATGAGGTCAGAAGAGAATATGAGCAAAACATCAATTAGCAAGAAGACAGGAAATGTTGGCAAGATTAGACAAAATTTTTCAGTCCTTTACCAACTTTGTCTCCTTTTTATTTTGCTATTTCATTCATACATATTCTCCTTTGCTATTTCATACAGCATTTGTGTGTGTGTAAATATTGAATATATATGAATGAATATACAAGTATATGTTCATATATATATGTATATATATATATGAATGGATTTGTGTATGTATGTATTTATCCACTGCTGGTGGTTAATTGGTGATATGTCTCCTGGACTTTTCCTCTCCAGGCTGGCTTTGAGCCACAGTCCTCAGATCTCAGCTTCTTGAGTAGTTAGGATTAAAAAAATCTATTGTTTGAGAAGGTTGTTCCTGACTTTTCGTCGATCTGCCCTTTGGTCACTCTGCTAATGTCATTTGACGGGTCAAGTTCACCCTTCAGACATCGATGTCCATGGGAAGAAACGTGAGAAGTGGAGTGGAAAATGCAGGCGCTACCGTGGAGGGAGTCAGGGCGGCTGTGCTAGTGCTGCTGAGGGCAGAGGGAAGGTGGCGTTCTTGGGGAGAGCATGGGCAGGACATCAGATCATGACTTCCATCCAGTTAGACCAAGAGCAGAGTGGTAGTCCTGGTGACTCATTTTGTTCATGGACACAGCTCTAATGGAGACAGAACTTCAC